AGTCTAATAGACGCCTATCAATGATATATAATATAGTCAATCATTGATAAATTGACAGTGTTCTAAGATTAATTTAGTCTTTTTCGTGATTGGGTTTGTTTTATTTTTAAATTTTGATATATTTGCAAATCCAGAAGGTTATTTCTTTATGTACAATTAATTCAGCTTGTTCTGTAATATAAAGGAGAGAGTAATATACAAAATTCTATATCAATTTTGTAGTTTATGCAATTAACACTTCAATAGCCGTAATTTCGAATCTTCACCTCACATGTTGTATAATAATAATAATAATAATAATAATAATAAAACCCTTCCATCATTTCATGTGAAAACCAAATCCGAAAGAACTGAACATTACCTCAATTCCTAAGCGATTAAAGCATTTTTACTTTTTCTCTAAAGGAAAGGAACTAAACAATTTGTTGTTTTTGTGATGCTTAAACAATAATTAACCATTGGTCTCTCTACACTCAGAACAAAACTCAAACAATGCATAAACATTGGTCTCTCTAGTCTATGAACTGTTTATACCTTCGAAACATTCACTTTAATCTCTATACTTTTAAAAAGTGATCATTTTGATCCATTCATTTTATTTTTTATCTCATTTTTTCCGGTCATAACTACACTCAATATTCTCTTGAAATGACGTCAACTTTATATGAAAGAGTTTCCGTTGGATATAGAATTTGTGTTAAAATTTTGAAAATAAAAACCAAAATAGTCACCTTTTAAAGCACAAAGACTAAAATGAATCATAATTAAAAATATATGGATCAAAATATACATTTTAAAAGTCTAGACCAAAATGAACCAAAACTAAAACCACTCCGACCAAAATAGTATCTTAACCAAATAATTACTTCCAAAAAAAAAAAAAATGGCAAGAGAAGATGCATGTATGCTAAACTTGAATGTTATTATCGACTAAAGAATCAAATACTTACAAGCGGAAAGTGCATATATCCATAAAATATTACAACCCCCATGGGCATGGTATTAGTGCAAATTTCTTGTAGAAAGAATTTTGCATCTTTTTTTCTTTTTCCTTCTTCAAGAGATCCATTGAACAAATTTCTCTAATTGTGTGTCTAATCTTTTCTGGAGATACTAAATTGATGCTAGTATATCGCCTTCGCAGAACTTCCAAGAACCATCCTCTTGCCTCTTTACCACATAACGAACTTTATAATTGCTGCATACAACAAATGATCAACTGTTTTTAGTGACAGAATAGAAAGGTGAGTTATGAAGATAATAATGGAACATCAAACTTAAATAGGCACCAATTCAACTATGCTCAACATAAGTAACTTCTTAAAAAGTTGGTAGTTCGAATCCCTACCCCACATCTTCTAAAAAATAATAGATGTATAAAATGTAGAAGAACAAAGGTGAAAACAAAATAAATGCAACCAATATAGTGAAATAGTTGTCACCATTATCTAAATGAGGCGATTCTTCCTTGGTACCTTATGGTCCGTAGGTAATGTGGTCATTTGACAAATAGCTAAGAGTGTTAATGGAGCAGGCAGAAATAGGGTTGACTTCACAATTTTAAACACTAGATTTTGAGAGAATCCAATGTAGTCTATTCTCATTATTAAAGTCTATATACATAGACAAATATACAAGGTTGACCTAATCCTATAAGAAGAAGATAAACGACAAATTAATACATATCAATACAAGAATATAAAAATATACTAATATATATACTTCAACACTCCCCCTCAAGTTGGTGCATATATGTTAATCAATCATGCCCAGCTTGTTAGAGAGACAATCTATCCGTGTTTCATTCAATGCTTTAGTAAAGATATCTCCTAACTGCTCTCCAGTCTTCACATATCCAATAGCCACCAATCCTTACTGTATTTTCTCACGTACATAATGACAATCAACTTCAATGTGTTTGGTTCGTTCATGAAATACTGGATTAGATGCAATATGGAGAGCTGCTTGATTATCACACCAAAGTTTCATTGGAGTGGTGATACCAAATCTCAATTCAGTTAAAAGCTGAAATATCCACACTAATTCACACACCGACTGTGCCATAGCTCTATATTTTGATTCAACAATCGAACGCGACACCACATTTTGTTTCTTACTTTCCCAAGAAACTAAATTACCTCAGAGAAATACACAATATCCTGAGGTTGATCTTCTATCTTCTATCTTCCTTAGAACCTGCCCAATCAACATCTGAAAAACATTCAATATTAAGATGATCCTGATCTTTATATAACAAACCATGTCCATGAGCACCTTTCAAATAACATAGAAGGTCAGTCGTAGGAGAACTCATAAACTAACTCATAATACTGACTGGATAAGCTATGTTCGGCCTCGTAACTGTGAGATAATTCAACTCCCCTACTAACCTCCTATACTTCTCAAGATCTTTCAACAACTCCCCTCCCTCGTAACTGTGAGATAATTTAACTTTCATGCTTCAGTTAACAGGTCAAGTAAATATTTTCTCTGTGATAAGAGAATCACCTTCTTACTCCTTATTACCTCAATTCCTAAGAAGTATTTCAGCACTTCCAAATCCTTAGTTTGGAATTGACTATTAAGAAAAGTTTTGAGTGATAGGATGCTTGATGAATCATTACCAGTAATCACAATATCATCAACATATACAACTAGTAAGATAACACCAGACTCGGATTGTTTATAGAAGATAGAATGGTCCGACTTACTCTTCTTCATTCCCAAGCCCTCAATCACCTGACTGAATTTTCCAAACCATGCTCGTGGACTTTGTTTCAACCCATATAAGGATTTGATATACCTTTCCATTCTCCCCCTGAGCAACAAAACCTGGTGGTTGCTCCATATACACTTCTTCTTGAAGATCACCATGGAGTAAGGCATTTTTAATATCAAGTTGATGTAAGGGCCAATTATGAATAGATGCCAAGGAAATAAATAACCTGACAGAAGCCAATTAAGCAACCGGAGAAAAGTATAGAATAATCAATTCCATAAGTCTGCGCATATCCTTTAGCAACAAGACGAGCTTTCAAATGGGCAATTGATCCATCATGATGAACTTTAACAACAAACACCCATTTACAATCGACAGGTTTCTTTCCTGCAGGAAGAGACACTAAATCCCAAGTACCATTGTCATCTAAGGCAGCAGCTCGCCAACCAAGATGAGACAATGTTTCATGAACAATTTTAGGAATAGATACAGACTCAAGGGATGCAAGAAACAAACAAGTAGGTGAGGACAAATGGTTATATGAAACAAAAGAAGAAACAAAATAAGTACACTTACGCTTACCTTTTCGAAGGGCAATACGGAGGTCATCACTCGTTCCTGGATCCACAGACGAAGAAGCTGCCGGTATAGAGCATGAGTCCGTAGGAGGTTGCCGACGAGAATAAACTTGAGTAATTATGGGGAGAGGGATCAGGCGCAGAGGGAGATGTATTGCTAGGAAGCACTCCAGTATAAGTAGAGACAATGAAATAGACAAGAAAGTCATCATCTTCTTGTGAACGCTCCCCCTGACTGGTACTCAAGCATGATGAAAAGGGAGTATCTTCAAAGAACGTAATGTCAGGAGAGACAAGATATCTATTGAGAGAATAACATCGATACCCTTTTTGAACACGAGAATAACCAAGGAAAATGCATTTCAATCACTTGGGGTCCAATTTGGTGAGTTGAAGGCAAACATCCCGAACAAAACAAGTGCAACCAAATATTTTAGGTTTAATAGGAAATAAAGGTTGCGTAGGACAAAGAGTACAATAAGGTATCTCACCCTTAAGAATTGATGAAGGCATGCGATTAATCAAAAAGCAAGCCATCGAAACAACATCGACCCAAAAGTATTTTGGAACATGCATTTGAAACATTAAGGCCCTTGCTGTTTCGAGAAGATGTATATTTTTCCTTTTTGCAACTCCATTTTGAGATGGAGTATCGACACAAGAGGATTGGTGAAGAATACCATATTCAMTCAAATAAGAGCCAAGAGCACAAGAAAAATATTCTTTAGCATTATCACTTCGTAGAACTTTAAGAGAGCCACCAAACTGAGTTCGAACTTAAGCATGAAAGTTACGAAAATGAGAAAGTAACTCAGATCGATGTTTCATTAAATATAACCAAGTTACACGGAAAAAATCTTCGACAAAGGTAACAAAATACCGAAACCCACATTTGGACTCAATAGGACAAGAACTCAAACATCAGAATGAATTAATTCAAAAAGAGTAGTAGCTCGTTTATTGACTCTAGGATACGAACTGAGACGATGTAACTTAGCAAATTGACATGACTCACAATCTAAAGAATGCAAACTATGAAATTGAGGACAAAGACTCTTTAACACGGAGAGAGATGGATGATCCAAACGACAATAGTTCTTCGAAAGAAGTTGGTATTCGAGTGCAAATAGTTGCTGTAGGTATTTATGAATCAAACGTGTAGAGGCCATTGGATTCATGCCCTTTACCAATAGTCTTCTTCGTCGTAAGATTCTGAAAAAGGCAATATTACCAGGGAAGAATAAGACACAACAATTGAGATCACGAGTGAGTTTACTAACAAAGATCAAATTAAAAGAAAATTGTGGTAAATTTAAGACAGAGGTCAATGAAAGAGATTTGGAAAGATGAACTGTGTCAGAGCTAAGAACAGGAGAAGTGGTGCCATCTGCTATTTTAACATCAGGCATAGATGCAAATGGGGAGAATTTTGCAAATAAGTTAGGGTTACCTGTAATATGATTTGTCGCACCAGTGTCAATGATCCATTTTAACGTGGATGAAATAAGACATTTACTGGTGTTACCTGACTCAGCGATAGCGTTAATCGAATTAGAGGACGATACCGTCAATGACTCTTGATACTGTTGGAACTTAACGAACTCTTCCACATGAATTGTAACTAACTTGCCAGTATCATTAGGAGTAGATGCAACATGTGCAGACTATGTTTTCTGACTTTTATTCAACAGCTTTCTACATTCTGGCTTTGTATGACCAGACTTATGACAATAATTGCATATAATGATATCTCCTGAATTTGATTTTAGAGCACTAGAATTCCAACGTTGAGCGTTCGAAGTCATGGAATTCCCTTGGTATAGGTATTACCTCAGTTTGCATTTGTACTACGTCCAACCAAAGCACTGTTAGTTTGAGATGACAAGACGGGTTGTGACTTCTCAACGCAAAGTACTCTAGTGTATGCCTCATCTAAAGCTGGAATTTCCGAACCAGAGAGTAATTGGTCTTTGGCCATATCAAATCTAGGTGGAAGACCAAGAAGAAAACTTATAAATGCTAGTTGTTCGCATTGGGTAAGCCGGACTTTTGCATCATTACTATCTAGGAGTAATGCATTAAACTATGCATAAATTCTTTTGTGTTCCATAAAGTAATTTGTAAGCGATTGGTCACCAAACATAGGTTGGTAGAAGTGCTTGCAGATTTCAAATATTCTACTAACATTTCCTTTTCCAGAATAAAGGAATTCTAAGTATTTAAGCAACTCTTTAACATACTCGCACTCGTTGATAATGCCAATAATTTCACCCTCGATCGAATTTTTATCTGTAGAACCAATCGAGCATCATCTTGCAACCAAGCTTTCTTGCTCTCATCCTTAGGAGGATCTTTAGATATGTGATCGTCCATATCAATACTTCGCAAAAAAAGACGAACATTGATGTTCCATAAAGAATAGTTTAATCCATTCAACTTATGTTCTATGACTTTCGATATCATTGGGATCACCTCAGATGTTACGATTGATTTCTTCTCCGCCTTAACAAACAAACGAACTTATTTGAACAAAACGACGAAACCAGACCAAGCCAACCGAATAGAACCAAACAAAACAGATGAACCAAACTGCTTGAACCGGACCGACTGAACCGGACCAGATGTTTTCTGAAACCAGAAACCCTAGTAGCCACACATTCAATGGAAAACGATACCATGAACTAGCAAATCCAAACGACGAATCGGTGCATCGGCGAACCCACAGGAAGTTGCGAATAGCGACAGCGGTTAAC